GTTGTTTGTTCTAGACTCCAGACTTCGGTTGGGGCTTGTGGCTTCCGGGGTGACTTGCTCGCCTGAAGGCTCTCTAAACCCTAAACCCTAAACCCTAAACCCTAAAGACCTTGGTTCCAGCTTCTAAGTCCTGAGAAAACTTGAGGTCGAGGTTGTTTGTTCTAGACTCCAGATTTCGGTTGGGGCTTGTGGCTTCCGGGGTGACTTGCTCGCCTGAAGGCTCTCTAAACCCTAAACTGAAAAACCCTAAACCCTAAACCCTAAAGACCTTGTGGTTCCAGCTTCTAAGTCTTCGAAGTCTTTCCAACCTTATATCTTCATGCACTCCGACAGGGTTCTTATATATACTGAAGCCATGTGTGCAACTCTGAGGGCCTGTGAGAGACCTTGAGCGAGTTTGGTAGACTGTGAGAGAATTCTACCAATTCTGCCTCAGAGAACAGCATTAAAGTCAGAAACATAAAAACTCCAGAAGCCCCGAAAAAAAGAAGCAAGCGAAAGTGAGAAAGGCCGTCTTTTCACCCCTCCGAGAACTCCAGGTGCAAGGCCAGCCTGTACTTCCGAGCCATCTTCCCAACGACCCGGCAAGGACCCACACCTCTGCTTGAAGACTGTGCCAGCTTTTGAGTATGCCTCATAAGATCTTCGCCAGAGAAGCACCACACCACTCGTGGAGATATGTATTCGCTGTAGTCGGCAATGTGCTGGAGTAGGTGGAATTTGCTCGTGAGATCAAAGACTTGGATCCCAGAATGAGCGAAATGGGTCGCGACAGCAGCATGCAGAAGTAGCATGTTCGTGGTGGCATCCCGGAAAGCTTGGGCCGCCTTGGCAGGGAACTGTAATGCCTCCTTGTAGTCTGTAAGCACCGATTCCATCAAAACATTTTGCTTCAGCATCAGACTGATTTGCTGATGGACATGCAGCCTAGAGTTGCAGAAAAAAAGCCATGTGTCCAACATTGGTCGTATAAGATGACGGACTTCATAGGCCTTGCCTCGAAGTTTCGGATAGCCTTTTTTCCGGGTATACATAGAAGCCTTCAGAAGACCACGAAACCGCTGACTAGCTGGAATACCAAGCTTGACATAGCACTCCTTCAGTTTGTGCCAAACCACCCGGAGGTTTTCAGCTGGGTCATTCGGAAGTACCAAATGGCACAGAAGCCATATCACACTTCCCAGCATGTACATGTCGCACCCGAGATACTTGACATGCATCAGGTCCATGGCCACAACATGGCAAGATGTTGAGGGAACCCGAAAAATCGGGTTTTGACTTCGGCTCGGATCCGCAATCCAATCTTTCGCCTTCCAGATCGTGGCCCGCCAGGGTGCATCACTCTTAAAGTTGGTATAAGTCAGCGGTCCCTTGGCCTGGGCCTTGCACAAGCAGCAGGGGTTCTTCGAGCTTCCGTAGTGCTGGAGTTTCAGCACTCCATGAAACCAGTCCAAGTCGCCTATGATTCCAAGCAATACACAGTAGTACCCTCCAGCAAGCGGGGTCAGAGCCCGCTTCTGTTCAGGACTTCCATTCCTGTACCTCAGATGATCCGGAACGAACGGAAAATATTTGCTAAACCCTAAACCCTAAACCCTAAACCCTAAACCCTAAACCCTAAACCCTAAACTCTAAACCCTAAACCCATAAACCAAGGGTTTTCATGCTTATATAGAGGCCTTATGAAACTCTAAAGCCTGCGACTCCTAGTTTTGTAATATCTCGGGTCTGGGGGCGCTTGTTGGGATTTATAGCTAGCTGAATATATGCTTTTGGGATTGTTTTCGCATTGGTATCAGCTCTGGGTTTGTATATATGTGTCTGTGCATAATTGATTTTTTTTGCGAGAGAGAAAGAGATGTGTGTAGGTACATCCATGTATATGTATGTTTTTGACATCCATGTGTAAGTTCATGCACATACATAAAAACAACACACGAAACCACTAAATCCTGCACTCTAGCACTTGTGGCCCGAGACCACACATATTTTCTAGACATAAAGTTGATTGCAGGAGCTATTCATTTCATGGATATAACGATGTAGAAAAGGCTCATAGCAAAAGAAACAAATGATGAACAGTCACAAGGCACTTGTCGCCATTGAAATCTGTATCCGGCCATTGGCCTCGGTAAAGCCACGTCAGTGACCATGCCAGGATCCTGAAAAAGGTGTCAAGAGTAGGCTCGTACTCGTCGGACTGGTTCAAGCGATACTTTTCAGGGCAGGAATATATCCATAGGAGCTTCTCAAGGGTTCGGGATGCCATACCCATGAAGGAGTACCAGCTCAGGGTGGACAGCTTCGACACCCAACATTTTCCCAGGCCTGAAACCGGGCAATCATCGCCGTGTACTCCGATAGGTATCGCTTTTGTGAAGCGATCTCCCCGGGACAAGACATCGTGGCCTTGGAGGGCAGGGTGTCCAGCGACTTTGGTCCAGAAAGGTTTGAGCTCTTCTGGCCGAGGCAATATATGTTTTCGAAATGCAGGCCCATACGAACGGAAAAGGGAAGCAAACATTTCGTGTGGTAACAATATTTGCTGGCTGACTTCGCCGATCTTGAACCTCATCTGTACCTGCATTGGCCGAGGGAGCTTGATGCCGGGCTCGAGCTTCGCCATAAGTTGGGCAAAAGAATTTTCAGGATCTTGGCCTGAATTGCCAATGCCGGCCAAAAAAACAAGATCATCCGGAATCTTGTCCTCCGGGCACCGCCTTCGAAGATCCTCTAGGGACTTAGAGGCCACTTTCTGGGCCTCCTGTGCCGATATGTCGCCCCAAGCGAATTGCTTCAGAAGATAATCAACCAGAAAACTTCTTCTATCGGATCCATGCTCCAGCTCCTCAGCTTCTTGCCTCTTTCGTTTTCTCTGCTGCAAGCCGCCCTTTGGCTCCATCCCGGATTCTCGAAACCATCGCAAGCTTGGAAAAGACGAAAAACTATTTCATGCCTAAAGGGCTGTGCTGTGATCCTATGGGTGTAGGCTTTTCAGCTGGGGGGCTAGGGTCTAGGGTTTAGGGTTTAGGTTTTAGGTTTTAGGGGGCATGTTATGGTATTCCCGAACTAAACCTCGGAAGCCTTTTGCTTAGACACTCCAAACCCGCACAAGTCGCATTATCTCTCAATGTAGTGTCTGAGGATCCGAAACTTAAGGGTTAGGGTTTACGGATATGTAAAAGCCCAAAACAAGTTCTCGCACTGAAACTTGATCGGCGACGAGTCTCTTGGATTTTCAAGGGTCCAGATTACCTGAAAGCGAAGCACATCATCACTGTGTAATTATCACCCCATACATCCTCAACACATTTCTAAGCCCTACACCCCAAACCTTAAACCGTTTGCCTTGTGCGAATCCTCATAACATTCCTAAGCCCTCCACCCCAAACCTTAAACCGTGTGCCTTGTGCGAAGATGAGCGACGAAACCCTAAACCCGAAAACGTAGGAGTGCCCACAAAAAGTTTGTCCCAATGCTTTCAAACCTTGAGAGAAGAACCATGTGATCTCGTACAATATCTTGAGAGAAACCTTGAGGGACTTCCGAGGGACTTTGAGGGACTTTGAGGGCAACTGTCAAGGAGGAACCACGGGAACAAACCCATCCAGACACACAGGCACACACAGGAGACCTGCGACCCGAGCCTGATACGATCTTCGGCATCGCCGCCGGCTGCCATATGTCACACCTGCATGCATCTATATTGTAATGCTGCTGGGAGGGTTTCTGCTGTGTGGCTTCGGGATCGATGCTGGTTTTGCTTGGCTTTTGTGTTTTTTTGCTATTATAGCTATTCCACCACCTTTCTAGCCTCCCACATTACCAACAAATCGTCTAGGATATGGAGGTGGCCATATCAACACTCCTTAATCCCTAAACCAGAAACCCTGCATAGGACATGGAGATATCCATATCAACACTCATTAAACCTTATAACCCCTATACCATAAACCCTTACACTTAGTATACACACATACAGCATAAATAAACCCCTACATCACATCGTCTAGGACATGGAGATATCCATATGAACACTTCTTAAACCTTAACCCCTAAACCATGAACCCTTACACTTAGCATACACACCTACACCATAAATAAACCCCTACATCACATCGTCTAGGGCATGGAGATATCCGTATCAACACTCCTAAAACCGAAACCCCTACACCATAAACCCTTATATACACATCGTCTAAGCAACAATCCTCAAACCTAAACCTCTAAACAATACACCCCTAGTTACAGTCTCAACGGGATGTGCATCCCCGCCAAAGTCCAAAAGACGACAAACAAATGCATGCTTTGTGATCCTTTTGTGGGCATCTGGGCTGTCAGCAAAATGGTGGATCACCTCAAGACAGCACCACATATGTGAGCTTCTCCAAAGCTCCTCTGAAAGTTGGATTGTGCCTGTGCTGGCGAAACCAGACGGATATAGCATGATGTGGAAGGGTTCGCGCTTTTGGGGTTCCAGTTTAGCATATATGCGGCTTGAGTGCCAAGGTCGGATCTTGTAGGGTAGGGTATGGAAACCCACATGGAATGATGCATGGGTTGGGGCTTAGCCTCCGGGTATGGACTCATATGTGGGTGCGACGGAAACCCTGAACCCAGAACCCACAACCTGAAACCCTAAACCCTGGGCCCTGAACCCTAAACCACTAAATCCTAAACCTAACTTATAGCTCCCGGGTGTATGGAATGATGTACGGAGTTCGGGCTTTGTAGTCATTGTTTCAGGGGCATGGAATGATGTGCAGGGCTCAAGGTCCCGGATATGGAATGGTGTACGGTTTTCGGGTTTCACATGTATATATAGATATATGTATATTTAATCATATATGTGTTTGTATGTAGGTAGACACAGAAGGAACAATCAATATATATATATATATATAGATATATAGATATAGATATATATAGATATATATATATATACATATATATATATATATACACACATAT